ATTTGTTCGCAATCGGTGTATATTCAGTCTTTATATTATGTACATAATTAGAAGTTGATTTATATTTTCATGGCAGTCGTCTGAAGAAGCCGGATGTTGTTAACTACTTCAAAGGCACTGATTTCAAATCTACCCTCAAATTGTCTCTAACAGCTTTAGTTTTTGAGATAGAGCTATTGGTCATAAAAAACTTTCATAAAACCCGGATTGCTTCTTTTTTTTAAGTGTTTTTTTTACAATGTCCACATCGAGAACTATCTGTAAAAACGATCCCAGCTATTTCTGTAACATTTGTGGTGAATATATATTCAAATTTTGTAGATTTAGTGTATCGGAGTTAGTAGAACGGGTATATTTGGATTACTTTGGATTTCCGCGACAAGCATTGGGTGTCTTATATGGTATGTAAAATATGCGCGGAATCGTTGAGATTATGGGAAAATAGAAAAGATCCCACTTCAAACACCAATGATCTGGTGAGAACCTTTAAATCATCAGGATAATTGTTGAGACAGCAGAGCTAATTCTGAGCACTGGGTTAGAAAAGACTACTAGTGCCTAGGGATCGCATAATACTGCCACCTTTGCATATCAAACTGGGGCTCATAAAACAATTTGTCAGAGCTCTAAACAAGGATGGTGATTGCTTTAAATACATCTCTAAAAAGTTTCATAATTTGAGTACGGAGGAACTGAAAACCGAAATTTTTGATGATCCACAAATTAAAAGGTTGACGAAGGATGAAAGTTTTAATAGTAGTTTAGTTTTCTGGGAAATAAGAAGAATGAAAGATATGCGGAGCACAATGAAGAGATATTGTTGCACTTCCAGCAACTTGCTTGTAATATGAGCATCAAGGTGCACTTCCTCTACAGACATCTGGACCGTTTCCCTAAATATCTTGGTGATCTGAGTGAAGACAAGGGGAACGGTCCCATAAGATATTCGGACTGTGGAGGAGCGGTAGTAGGGTCACTGGAATGCCCACATGATGGCGGACTACTGTTAGAGCATTAAGAACAGCTCTTATAAGTCAAGTCAAGCAAGAAAATCTTATGAAAGAAAATTTTTTGATATGTAGTAGTTGTTAAAGTGAAACTATCTATGGCATGTCGCATTACAGCCTGCCGCGGAGTAGGGGTAAAACTGAAGACGCTTGGCAGAGCAGTCAAAATTAATATGGCGCAGCAGCCAAGACCAAAATGACAGCGCGCATGGTTCACATTAGCTAACCGTGCAGCATTTATATTCTCACTCATTCGTGCAAGTGCATGACAATTACATTTATAGACTGTGAAACTCAAAGCGAAGATGAAAGTATTGATAGAAAAGTTGAAGTTCAAAATGATTCAATGATTTAAATAAATATTGTTCTCAGTTTTTAACATGCGTCTATCATCTGAATGATTGTACTTATTATGTATTCCGTACTCTCATACGCAGATTGAAATTAACATTTATAGTTGGATATCTTGTATACTATTGATTTCCCATTATGATTCCTGTTTTCCAATCATTAAGATAAGATTAATAACGCGATTTTAATTTTAATTCCCTAAATCGAATGATTTTCCGAAAATTTACAGTTAAATGCCTACAATCCGAAAAGTTTTACTTGCATTGTGATTTCATAAAACCACACAATTTTTTTTTCTAACGTCTACTTAAAATTTTTTTTTCTGGAAAATCACGTTTTTAATATATCTATCTCAAAATCTAAAGCTGACACAAATAATCTGACTTCAGATCTGAAATCAGTACTCCAAAAATGTATAATATTAGTCATAAAATTTCATGCAACAAAAATTCTGTTCCCTTGTGTTATCAAATGCTTTGCTATGTTTATAAATAACTGTAAATTTAAAATCAACAATATTCCTTACCTTGAATTCCGTCGCATAGCCATAAAATGAATACTATGTACTTAACTTGAAACATGATGAGATATTAAGTGAAAACTTCAAATTTCCTTTCATTTAACAAGGTTTGACATATGTATATCTTGAAAACTAATAGAAAAGATAAGATAATCTGAAGAGTCGATACTTTTATATATATTCCTTTAATTAATTACAATTAATCTTCATAATTCAAACTGTCTAAAGCAACAATCTTTAACCTGATATAGAGTCAATTTTATAAAACTGTATGCAGTTTAATAACCAAGAACAACAATCAATCATATTCAGTTTAGACTAAAACACCGGAACGATTTACGGTATGTTTTCAATCATCTGATAGGTACATTCTTGTATTAAAGATAACTTTAATGGTTTCTTGCAAAGAATTTTTGAGAAAAGTTAAGAATAAATTTAACAGCATTAAAAAAAATAGCAAAACCTTACTTAAACTTATTTGAATAACCTCAATGCAAACTTAGAACATAGAGACAAACTTTATATAATTTGTAATGACTTAAACTATATTTGTGATTAGTTTATAAACATTTATAGTTCGTGATGTGTTCTGCAATTGCCCAACGTATGAATTAACATGTACCGTGTTTACTTGAAGGTACGCACTACCCCGGAAATAAGCGCCCCTATGATTTTAAAGGATGGTTTTAATACGTATAAGCTCGAGGGGCTAAAAGTTTCTTTAGCATGACTAGTAGCGAGTCAAGCTATACTTTTATTGAAATTTGTTCGCAATCGGTGTATATTCAGTCTTTATATTATGTACATAATTAGAAGTTGATTTATATTTTCATGGCAGTCGTCTGAAGAAGCCGGATCTCCGAATTCTAATCGTGTCTTTCCGATAAAATACCCACGACGGATCATAGTGACATCAGAAATGTTCGATGTTTCGTCTCCTATTTCATGGGATCAGTGTTGGACAAAATTAAATTGTTAGACAATTAACCATTAACAATTACTTAATTACTTAAAGCCAAAGGATGCGGGTTCGATTCCCGGCGAGGGTGTGACAACAGCAACAAATTTTCTCTCACCAACCTAAGGTAGTTTACAGTGAGTAAAAAACTGAAAATGAATTTTCACGTTAACATTTATTTTATTATTTACACAATGAAATTTATTTGAATGAAGTTTAAACAAGTGTCACTGCATTTATGGATGAAAAGTATAATTAAATTGTACTTGTACAATTGATATTGTGTCATTTAATCACGATGATGAAGTTGTAATTCGATAGTTGTAATTGTGAAAACTCGCAACTAACAATTAATTAATAGTTAATCATTTTAGTGCGCTTGATTTAAAACTAACAATTACAACTTATCAATATATGAAAAGTATGTAATAATAATAATTATAATATGAAACTGCTATGATTTTGCATTCCCTTTTTCGTTTAATTAAATTTAATAAGTTCAATAATTTCTTAATTTAAGTTTAATTCAATTCAATAATTTGTTAATTTAAATTTTTATCAATTTTAATAATTTAAATTTAATATTGACAATTACATGGGCAGTGGTAAATTCGGCCAGTCATTTCGACGGGTAGAAAAATTCATTAGGGTCAAAATGTAAATTCGGCCGCTCTGTCCGATAATTGAGTATGTAAATTCGGCAGGAAAAATTGCTTCTATATGTTTATTGGAGAGAACATTCTACATATTGCTTTAGGTATTTAGTTATTCAAATAAAAGGAATATTAAACCACAATAAAACAAAGCCTTATCAAAGAAAGTAGCAGCTTCTTTCAGTAATGCAAGTATCATACGTGTTTATTAAAATGTAGTAATCTTTAACAAAATGTACTGTTTACTGTAGGGATAGATGTGCAAGGGCAAAAGATTAGTGTGCTTAGATTTGCAGATGATATAGCAGTATTAGCATCTAGCAAGGAGGACTTAGAGAGAGCTTTAAATAAAATGGAAGCGGTACTGACAGATAAGTACTGTATGAAAATAAATAAAAGTAAAACTAAAATACTAGTATGCAAGGGAAGAAAAAGTAGGGAAACAGCGAATATAAAGATAGCAGAAGTGGCTGATTTAAATACCTAGGAAGTCAGAAAAGTCAGGATGGAAGGAGTAGTGGGGATATAAAGCAGAGGATAGCGCTGGGTCGTGTCGCCTTTAATAAAAAGAAGTCACTTTTAAGCTCGCGAACGGTTAATTTAGAAATTCGAGCGCGGCATTGTACGGATGCGAAACATGGACGGTGGGCGCGACGGAAAAGAACAGGTTAGAAGCGTTCGAAATGTGGTGTTATAGGCGGATGATGAGGAGAACGTGGGTAGAAAAGGTTAGAAATGAAGACGTATTGGAAAGAATAGGGGAACAGAGGACTATGGAAGTAAATAAAAAATAGGCGAGATATGTTGTTAGGACACCTTCTCAGGCATGAAGGTCTAGTCATAGACATATTAGAAGCAGAAACAGGAGTTAGGAGGGGTAGAGGTATATCTAGATTAGATTACTGTTTACAAATAGTTAAGGATGTGGAATGTTCCAGTTTTGGGGAAATGCGAAGATTAGCTCAGGATAGGAAAGAGTGGAGATGATAATGTAGAAAATTATAAACACTAAGAACCCAAATGATTAATAGATACGAATTAAGTTTTAAAAACGTTTATTAAAACCTGGAGATTACAAACATAACTTAATTATAAGGGAGATAAAACGTCACCAAATCAAAAACTAACTTTTCTTTTGCTATGCATACAAAAAATAAAAATACATAATATGATAAACGATGAGACATAAGATTTATAGCAATACTTGGATACTCAATGCTCAGGGTGTGAACCGTAGGTAAATGTAACTACTCCCGACATAGATATGAGTCAAAGTCCTTGAGAGCTTGCGAATTTAGATTATAATAGTTTCATTATTTTTTTCCCTTGTTTTTCCAATCGTCTTGTTTAGATTTGCTAGCGAATCATTATAACATAACACAGAACAATAACAGTAGCACTATGATATACAAGGTGATCGTCCAAACACTGGGTTAATATGTGTTTATATTTGACACATTTAATTCTTTTATATGTTTCTCTTCTAAATTCAATGCCTTTTGTATTTCTCTGATATTATTTAGACGAACAGATTTTAGTGTAAATAATTCCAAATTGACAAGGAAGTCATTACCATGTTTAAACAGAAAACTTAATATGGCAGTTCAATATTTTTAACGACTAACTTTGGAGATTATCACCTTTCAGTTTAATGGTCTGTAGTATTATTACATTACATTATTATAATTCTATAAGGGGTGTTCTCGTCCAGTTTAATGGAATTAACGTCGTTTGAAATATATTGACCCGTATTATTTTCTTTGCTCGTTACATAATTGTGCTAGTTCAGGATAAAAAAAAAAACGATCTCAGGTGTGATCACTTAAAAGGTTTCATTAATGGATGTAGGTAAAGAGTATAAATTATAATAATCGTAATCTTCAGATTCAGCTATTTGGGACTTCAAAAATTAAGTAAATTTTGTTTTCTTTACTGTAACTATAATTTTTTCAAAAAGAAAAACATTTTCCATAGTAAGATCAAATGGCAATTTTCCTTTCCTCAGTTGTTTTTCGAACTTTGGAAAATTTATTTAATTGCAATTAACCTAACAAACGCGCAACAAAACATAGAAGTTAGTGATGTAGAACTTAGGGAAAAAGAAAAGCCTTTCTTTCAAAATCTCTCCTTCACTCTAACTACTAACAACAGATACTTAGGAATCAATTTCGCACCGAACACCTTAACAATGAAGAAGAAACCTCCTTATGGAAAACTATCCAATGGTAACCGGAAATATTCCACATAGAAGGCTTTGACACACCAAGTCACATAAATATAATCGAACATAAAATACTTGCTAAGGACAATGTATCAGGCCAAGCGAAGGACTACAGATATTCACAAATTCACAAAGAAGTCAATAAACAAATTCGTCAATTACGTAAAAATAAAGTCATCCGACCATCTTTTTCTAGATGGAGTTCACCTTTATGAAGTGAGACACATTCGGAAAAGTCAAGTGGAGAATGGTCATCGATAAACGATAAAACAGTAGACAACAAGTACTCTCTGCCCAACTGTCAGTTTATTTCGCTGCACTTGATTTGATCTCCAGCATCTTTCAAATCAAGATGTATAAGGATTCCACAGAAAAAACAGCTTTCTCAGTCAATAAAAAACTCTAGGAGTACACCCGCATGCTGTTCAGGCTAAGGAATGCCCCTTCTACTTTTCAGCATGCCATGAATCTGGCCCTAAATGGCTTAACTCCATAACAGTGCATGATGTGTATCGACGACATTATCATTTATGAAACATCTGAAAAACAAACTTCCTAGGACACGTAATCATTAGAGAAGGAATTAAAACCAACCCGGATTATGACGTAACCTCCATCAACGCCCTCAGGCGTTCCCAAGGTTACAAAACATAGATAGATCGTATACGCACCGATTACGAAGAAGCAGAACCTGGTAGGGACTCTTCGGAGCTCGCTGCCCTCCATAACAATTACACCTGCTACCACCGAATACGACACCTTCACCTCGGAAATCCCTGAAGATCTCTTGGTCCCCACGGATGTCTCCGATGGTAGCTCACCGGAGCCGAGCACACCACCTCTCCTTCAGGTCACAACCACGGACAACAACAACACATCCATCCAGGCTGTTGATGATCCGATTGCTGAATACCTACGACTGCTACTGTCTGATGAATTCACCAATACAGAGGACATCTCTCTATTATACATCCACACCTTCAGTCAAACGCCATTCTTTCTTCGCTTACGGTGTAACGGGAGGACAACAAACGAACGTGCGAAGATCCCCCAACATGCGATGACACTAGCTCATCCACTATCCAAACGTCGGGCCAGAATTGCCCGCTATCGACTTACTCAGGAGCTCTACAAGTCCAATACAATCATTCTGTCCCAAAAGATCATCGATGGCCTGGATCTTGAACAACCACCGACCACACCCATCCAGATGATCTCCTTCAAACAAATTCTCGGCTTTTCGTCATCCCAAAAGGAGTGGCGAACCTAGAAAACATCAACAACTGGAGGCCGATCACCGTCGCCCCACTCCTGATCAGAATCTTCCATCGTATCCTGACCAAGAGACTCGCCACACTTACTCTCAATCGGTCCCAGAGAGGTTTCATCTCTCTTGACGGCACCCTGGGCAACGCAACAACGTTACTTTATGAAACCATATCAAACACCACCGAGAACATACCAGGCCCTACATCACCACCCTCGATCTGCACAAAGCTTTCGACACCGTCCCATACCCCTCATCGATGGGCCCTCGTCCGTCTGAGCGTAGATCTCCGCTTCACTAGATATGTCATCGCTTCATTGACGGATTGTACTACCACTTATTTCCTGCGGCCAACACACCTCGCCGTCAATTAAGATCGAACGTGGCGCCAAACAAGGGGACCACATCTTCAATGCCGTTGTGGACGACCTGGTCCTCAAGTCGACATCACTGGACGACCAACAACATCTGGTCCGAATGGTCGACTGTTTCATGTAAGTAAGAGGCATGGAACTCAACACCAACAAATGCAGGCTTCTCAGCGTTAACTTACAACCGGCTAAAAAACTTTACACCTCCACCAAGTGCCTTTTGTATGCTGGCGACGTACTCAACCCAAAAATATGAATTTGAATTTATGTACCTCATTAAACAAACATAAAATTACTTATTGTTTTTACGATTCGTCTAGATCAAGGGTCGGCAACCTTTTGAATCGGAAGAGCCAAAAATAACGATTTACAAAATTTCAAAGTTTTTAAAGAGCCACAAAATTTTTTCTTGCCAAAAATAAATAGTACCTACTCGCATAAATATTTTTCACAACAAAAGTTTGGATAAGTTTGACTCTTATTTACGTAGATAATTGATAACAATATTTTTATCATTTTCTTTAGTTAGTGTTGATAATGACTACAGAATTCATCATGTTTAATGTCGGAAAACTTCTTACATAATAAGAATTTTTATGTTAACATTTTAATAGTTTTCCATTTTCTTGTTTTTCTCCTTTTAGATACCATGTATATTGTGTTGTTTTTTTAACCACTGATTTGTTTATCAACTTAATTGCATTAATTACCAGCAAGGAAACCAATATTGATTAGTGAAATAGTATAAAAGCTGATATGAACTCGCACAAAGCAAAAATGATTGATTCAGATTATAATTTTTTTGCACCCAAGCTTAGCGGTAAGTTTACTTTATTATTTAATTTCATATTTTGTATAATCAACAGATAATTATATCTGTTTTTAGGAAAAATTTATTGTAGTGATGGTGGCGGTGGTAGTTCCACCGATGCCACCATTCATTTACCTTGGTGGTGCAGGTGGGTAGCGATATTATATGAGAGACCACCAAAATTTACTCGAAGTTTGGAAAATGTAAGTAAACGAATACTTTTATTATAGCCATTAACATTCATACAATTTTATCTTATTTACAGAGCCGATTAATGAATAAAATATTTTGTATTTATATATAATATCTCTCTTTATTAAGT